TCTGGGTCCTTGGTTTCCAAATGAGATGCAAAAGTTGCTCTCATCAGAAAAGAGGACTTTGGACCACTGAGCAACACACCAGGTCTGTTTTTCTTTAGCCAAGGTAAGACGCTTCTGACGTTGTTTGTTGTTCAGGAGCGGCTTGATGAGAGGAATATGACATTTGAAGCCCATGTCCAGGATCCGTCTGTGTGTGGTGGCTCTTGATGCACTGACTCCAGCCTCAGTCCACTCCTTGTGAAAGTCCCCAACACTTTTGAATGGCCTTTTCCTGACAATCCTCTCCAGGCTGCGGTCATCCCTGCTGCTTGTGCACCTTTTTCTTCCACACTTTTCCCTTCCACATAACTTTCTATTAATGTGCTTTGATACAGTACTTTGGGAACATCCAACTTCTTTTGCAATTACCTTTTGAGGTTTTCCCTCCTTATGGAGGGTGATGGTTTTCTGCACAACTGTCAGGTCAGCAGTCTTTCCCATGATTGTGATTCCTACTGAACCAGACTGAGAGACCATTTAAAGGCTCAGGAACCCTTTGCAGGTGTTATGGCTTAATTAGCTGATTAGAGTGGGACACTTTGAGCCTAGAAATATTGCACCTTTTCACAATATTCTAATTTTCTGAGATTGTGGATTTGGGGTTTTCATGAGCTGTAAGCCATAATCATCACAATTAGGACAAATCACAGCTTGAACTATCTTGCTTTGCATGTAATGAGTCTATCTCATATATTAGTTTCACCTTTTAAGTTGCATTACTGAAATAAATGAACTTTTGCACGATATTCTAATTTTTCAGGTTTCTCCTGTATATTCTCATTTTCAAGGATTGTATTGAAACAAAGATACTTCTACGGTTTTAGTAAATCAACCCTACTGTTGAGCAGCTAGTAAACAAAACCCCAACCTTTTATGTATATTATATTGAAACCCATTTGGTAACTGCAGTATTTTTAAATGATTTGGATAACCTTTTCATCAACATAGAACACTGTATATTTGCTAAGTCCAAGTCTTTTTTTAAGAGGCAGCTAATCTGCTATAGTTAAGAGTATATGAAACATCTGATCGATGGTACTGGGCACTGTGTGCAATCTACAAAGAGAAGTTAAAGGATAAGTTCACCTTCTGACCAAAAATAATAAATGCACATTTTTTTGCACATAAAAAAAATGTGCATTTATTATTTTTGGTTGCAGGAGCCTGCAAAGCATTGCACCAACGATCAGTAGATTGCTGGTGCTATGCAGGTCTCCTGCAGACCTGTCAGTATATCTGCTTGCCCGTATGGGATGTATGGGCAAGCAGATATACTGACAGGAAGATTTAATGAACTACCACCGTGGTCCACAGCGCTGTGGTAGTTCATTGATTGAGACCTACAAGACAACCGCCGCTAAGGCTGTCGGGACCTGTAGTTCATTAATTCACAGAACTCTGTGAATGAATGATGCTGCCTTGTGGGCTGAGCCCCGCACGGCTGCACTGCTTTTGAAAAGTGACAGCTAGTACAGGGAACTTCTCCCCATACTTCTGTCACAGGGTGGAGGGGAGGGTGCAGCATTGGGAACATGTTACATATTCCACCCTAAAAAAAAACGGTTCCCATAGGTGAACTTAGCCTTTAAGTGAACCCCAAATTTTACATACTCCTGCCCCCACTATTCTTGCTGTGAGGGCATGCTCACTTGTGATGGTTTCAATCAAACAGCTGAAGTGTCTGTAATTACGAGCACAGGTAGCATCTTTGGAGAGAGCTGTTGGACTTTTCAGATGGAAGACATACATGGAGCGCAGACCTGAAAAGACAAAGAGAGAAAGACAGAGATTGTAGATTAAGTAATAGCAGGTATACCTAAAACATTCAGCTCTCACTTTGAAGCCAGGATATACTGTACATATAATCTACAAAAATCAAACTCTACAATACATGCTTTTCTACTCAAACTTTATTCACATCTCACTCCCACATGGCGTGGAGTTGGGGTTATATGATCAACAATTAAGATTTATAAATCATTTTGAATAAGCAATGTTTTGGGTAATGTTCCCATTCCTACCATTTCATGTAGTTGTGTATGTTGTATGGTATTGTTGTATTGTTGCATGTCCTCAATTCGTGCTGATGGGCCCTTGTGCACAGCAGTTTCTTATAAGCCAAGAGTATGATTGTATGGAAAGGTATAAGCTCATGTGTGTCTTCTGTCTCATCAATTATAGGCTCTCATACACAAAGGATGCATACCTGATCATGCAGGTTATAGTATACTTCTGTATGATCATATGCACTTTGCTGAAATATGCATCCCGTGCATGGTATTTTTTGGCAGCATCTCACTGTGACTTATTTTAGGTGGCATTATGTCCTGTATTTTCTACACCTGGGACCTCCATTTATATAGGCTATTTGAATACATTTTTTGTAATGTTAACAGCTCTTCTTTGTAACAGACCTTAAGATGGCCACAGATCAATTTTCTTTCCTTTAACCAGGAGTTGCAGGAAAGACAATTACTTGATTCCCCCATCAACACAGTCAATGTTGACAGGGGAATCCCTCCCGCAAGGCCATAGTGTCTTCCCTGCAGGGGGTGGGGGGAGCCATCCCTGCCAGAAGAACACAGTGCTAACAGCTATAATAGCCGCTTTTAATAATCACATGTAAACTCCGACAGGCTTGTTGCAACTAAGTTGATAATTCGATCAACTTGGGTACATTCAGCCTGCCCATACATGGTTTGAATTTTGGCCAGTTCAGCAGGTACTTCAAATTCGAATCGTCTATGGCCAGCTTAAAATCACATGTAATCTAGATCACTTGACTGTGTTCTGATGTTTACAAGCTAACACGCTGTCACTGTAGGTGACATTCACAATCAGTGAGATTAATTATTCCAATAGACCATTTGGGGTTTATATAACTTTAAATCACTTTATCTGTCAGCTTGCACTTCTCATTTTATGTCACACTTCCTCATTTGTTCTGTGGTAATCTTGTTTACACCATTTTTCAAAGCCTACAGTTCATTTGCCTAACATTACTGCTATGTATTTCTGAGAAGTGCTAACACAATCAACTATCTGCATGTCGCCAGTGTGAAATGTATACAGCGTTTCCACAGAGTAGACTGCTGTATGTGTCAGCAGTAATCATTGCAGTTGCTGAAAACACAATTTTACATTTAAATATAGCATATAGGTCTGGGAATATGAATGACACACCAGCAAATGCAGGATAATGTTGAAAGAAAGGAATCATGTTACATGACCCAGCTCCAGTCTGCTTAACTGCATGTTTTATATATTAGCGGAAACAGAAGGGGCAGAGTGAGTGTAGTGTTACCTGTATAACACAGAAATATGAGGAGTATGCTTATTATATATGTAAATATAAACCACGATGTAATGATGTATTATATTAGTCCCACAAGAGAGTAAAACAACTGTAAAGATAGTAATGGATCCATGGTAATTTTTCTGTCCATTGTTAAGCAAATTGCTATATTCACCCATTTTTCCTTCTTCATTAAATGCATTCCTATAATTACAGACCTAAAGTGAAAACAAATGTACCTTTTCATTGCATTTTGTGGCATTATTTGTATGCGCTGTAAATTGTGAATAGGCAGGGCATGCCTGGAGAATAGTAGCTACTATATGTCAGCAGCTCAGTACAAGCCCTTGGGATGGCCATTATTCAATATGGCCAGGCTCAACACGTGTGTGTCTTTACTCAAAATACTGGGAACATTGTATGGTTTAATACACAGCTTACACAGCAAAATAGTATATGGGTCTGCAGATAAGGCCTGTAATTAATTTTTTACATTTAAAAATGTGTTTAGGAAGGCAAGGGAGATAAACTTTAATGGCTATATTTCGGTAAATCAGGTCCAAAGTGTAATCATACTTGAAACTACTATGCCAAAATCCATGGCTTAGTGGGGGTTAATTACTAAAACTGAAGAGTGCAAAATCTGGCACAACTCTACATAGAAACCAATCAGCTTCCAGGATTTATTGCCAAAGCTTAATTGGACAAGCTGAAGTTAGAAGCTGATTGGTTACTATGCATAACTGTACCAGATTCTGATTGCACCAGTTTTAATAAATCTCCACCATTGACTCATAGCAATCATTCAGATCTACATTTATGGAGAAGTATAAATATTTGTACTGCACTATATTCTCAGATCAAGGATTGTATTGGAATAAAGATACTTCTGCAGAAAATGTTGGGCTGTGGTTGCTAAAGGAAAACTGAGAGTGTATGTTTTTTTGTTTTTTTTTTCTTTTTTAAAGTAACGCAAGACAGAGAGGCAACATTCAGTACAAAGTCATAATTTATTCTATTCTGTATAAAAAAGGTCATAGTTTTGTATTAAAAAGTCTTCTCCCAGGAGAAGAAATATATTATTTTGCATCATAAATAAAATCATAGCATATATACAGTCGTCAGCAAACTCAGAAGGCTTCGGCCTAGTGCTTTTTTTTTTCGTCAGTGCTTTGGAAACTGAAGCTGGTCTTGAATTACAAACAGGAATTACAGTACCAAAAAATACTGAGGTATTTCTCCTTTGCTTCGTTAAAAAAAAAGCTGAAATCTTAGGCTTCTGAAGGCAGGACGAAGCTTGTAAAATAAATAATAGGACGTACATTTTGTTTTTACAGTTCGTAGGCAGCAGCCTCTCTTTCATTTTCACCAGTACAAAAAATTCAGGAATGGAAATACTGTCGAACCTCCCTTAAACGGAGATTATAAACAAACAAAAATCAGACGTAAAAAGGCAATGGTGACCTGTCTTTTTTGAAATCCTTAGTGGTTAGGACAGACACTCAAACTTTTGACAAGTCACGTCAGTTTTAAGCTACTTGTGGTTTCACCAGTTCACACGTCTGGTTGATGATGGCTTAAAAGTGACAACAAAAAAGTTAATAAAAGTTCTGAAAAATTATTGCACTTTGTATAACACAGTCCATGTGCTTTAGCTTGTTCCACCTCAGCAACTTGGCGATGTTGTGATAGGACTGTGAAGGTAGCTCAGAGAGCTTGTTGCAGGATGAACGGGGATAGAAACTGGGAAGTTAAAGACAGTAGTAGTGGATGTTCCTCTGTCCAAAACTGATATTGTGGGACTACCAGCCTCTGCTGAACATGACGGTGCTAGTACTTGAGATTCAAACTGAAGCAGCTGTCCCATAAAGCTGAAATTAGGTGAAATGATGCTCCTTCGCTGCTTGACAAACTCAAAAGCTTCATCTAGCTTCACACGGTTAGTCCTCATCAAATAAGCAAGGCAGATAGTAGCAGAACGTGAAATACCAGCTTGACAGTGCACAAACACTCTGCCACCATTATTCTTCACAGAATCTGAAAGATAAAATAAACAGGTTATTGTAAATAAACATTATACTAAAAATCTTCAGTTTCAGAAAACCTGTGGAATTTATAACGAAAGCAAACAGCAAAATCTGGCGCTGTATGCTTATGGCAGCTAGGTGGCAGCAACTGACAACAGACAATGTGCTGCCCTCTATGTGTGATTAGTTTTGTATTCTGCCTAGTATTAGACCGAGTGCTGCGTTCATATTGGACAACGAGCACTTTTCTTACTCCTCAAACACTTTGTCATTATTTTACAACAGTAGAGGAGCAGTTTGGCACAGATAAATTAGCAGAGCTCCAATAAATCCATGCAAAAAGGGTAAAATTGATCTGAGACACAAAATGCTAATTGTTGATATAGACCTACTGTTAAACCTGGGCTGTGAGAAGTAGCTGATGCTTGCAATCAGTATTATTCTTAGGTATTCTTAATACTAGGTTTAATGTTCTGTGACATTAAAAGATATTTACCTATGAAGTCAATGGCTTCATTAAACCAGGAGCTGATGTCTGCTTTGTGGCTGTCCTCTACTGGGATACTCTTGTACTGGTAGTGTCCCTCAAAGTGATTGGGGCAGTTGGCAGACACGTTGATCAGGGCGGTAATGCCAAGGGTGTCCAGCATATCTTTTCTGGATGCATGGTATGCACTTCCCAGGTAGAGAAAAGGCAAGATTTCCACTGGTCCTCCCTGTAAAACAATTACAACAGACACGTTTAATCAACTGGAAATACAATCATACATAATTCATTCATAGGTACATAAGGGAAGGCTTGAAATATGATCAGTTGTGTTATGTGTACATCTTATATTCAGCCACAAAGGAATAATGTGTAAACACAGCTTATTATCAGGGCTTGTGTTTGGGGAAGTACAATTGTCTGGTGCTTTACAGCTCACTATTATTTAGTGCTTGGCTGGCTGGGAGTGGTAAAGGGAGGGACAGCTTGCTTGGCAGGGGATTTTAACTCTTACAACACAAGGGAATACTGACCTGATCATATAATGGGGTGCCGCAGGGGGTGCAGTTGGAATCAGCACTGCCTGGTACACTGTTGGCACTGAGGGGCAGGCTTAGTCCTACTGGGGGAGAACATTTGTTGCAGAATTCAGGATATTCAGAGGAAAATGCTTCATATCCACCTGAAAGAGAAGAAACAAATGACAGTCATTAGATTGTATCCTTTATGTAGCTGATTGACAGTTGTTATCAGTGGAGGGCTTTAGGTGGACCCTACAGGATTTATTGTGCTAGAAAAAAGGGAAGAGTTAACAAAGGAAAGTTTAGGAGGGAAGCATCACTGTACCTTTACTGGCTGACATTTTTCAATGTGGGCTTATGGATATAAGGGATTGTTGTTTATAAAAAGGGGAAGAGCTAGCACATTTTAGGAGGGAGGCATCAATGTACCTTTGTGGTTGATTTTGGGCTTTAAGTAATTGATAAGATATAGATTACTGTATAGGAAAAGGGAGAAGGGCTGGAAGGGAAGCATTCATTTGTGATGATATTTCTCAATGAGGACTTAAGGTGGACCCAATTATTCTATAAAAGAGGGGGAACAGGTTTTAGGAGGGAATCATCTTCCTACCTTTATAGTTGACCTTTCTCAATGGGGACTTAAGATGGACCCAATAGATACAAGGGATTAGTGTATAAAAGAGAGGGGGAGGAACTATCACAGGTTTCGGAAGGGAATAATCTTCCTACTTATATGGTTGACCTTTCTCAATGGGTACTTTAAATGGATCCATCAGATATAAGGGATTATTGTATTAAAGAGGAGGAAAACTATCATAGGTTTTTGGAAGGGGATCACCTTCCTACCTTTATGGATGACATTTCTCAATGGGGGCTTTAAATTGATCCAATTTAAATAATTGTATAAAAGAGGGGGAAGAGCCATCATAGGTTTTAGGAGGAAATCATCTTCTGACCTTTATGGTTTACCTTTCTCAATGGGGACTTTAAATGGATCCAATATAAAGAATAATTGGAAAGGGGGGAAAGCTTACAAAAGATCATGTACCTTTATTAGTTACATTTCTCAATTGGGTCTTTAAGTGGGACTAATAGATAAAAGGGATCATTGTATAAAAGAGAGAGAGCTATCATAGGTTTTAAGAGGGAACTGTCTTCCTATCTTTATGGATGACATTTCTCTATGGGGGCTTTAGCTGGATCCAACCGTTATAAGGGATCATTGTAAAAAAGAGGGGGGAGGTTTTAAGAGGGAACTGTTTTTCCTCTCTTTATGGATAACATTTCTCAATGGGGGCTTTAACTGGATCCAGCATATAGAAGGGATAATTGTATAAAAGAGGGGAAAGAGCTATCATAGGTTTTAGGAGAGAATCATCGTCCTAGGTTCATGGATGAAATTTCTCTAGGGGGGCTTTAGCTGGATCCAATCATTATAAGGGATAATTGTATAAAAGAGCTACTGGAGGTTTTAGCAGGGAATCATCGTCCTATCTTCATGGATGACATTTCTCTAGGAGGGGGTAACTGGATCCAATTGTTATAAGGGAAAATTGTATCAAAAGGGGAAGAGCTACTGAAGGTTTTAGCAGGGAATCATCTTCCCATCTTCATGGAGGACATTTCTCTATGGGGGATTTAAACGGATCCAGTAGTTATGAGGGATAATTGTATAAAAGAGATGGAAGAACTACTGTTTTGAGGAGGGAATCATCTTCCCATCTTCATGGGTGGCATGCCCCTATGGGAGCTTTAACTGGATCCAGTAGGTCTAAGGGATTAATGTATTGGAAAAGTTGGAAAGCTAGCAAAGGATCAATGTACCTTATTGATTACCTTTCTCAGTGATGGCTATGGAGTTTATTGTATAGGGAAAGTGTGAAGAGGCAAGGAAGGCAGTTTTGGTAGGGGCTGATGAATATACCTTTCAGGAAGAAGATCCTGCTGCCTCGGGGGTCCCTGCAGAGGGCACTGACTGCCAGCATCATGGTGCTGTCCTTGCGGATGGTGTCCAGCTCGTAGGTCCTGTCATCCAGCAGCAGCACAGCCTCATACAATCCAGCGATCAGCCGAGCCCTCTGCTCCTCGTTGGGGATGATGTGTTCCAGGCCCATGCTGCCTTTTGCCCTCCTCTTGACTATAGTGCTGAACCTGACATTGCTGGAGCCAATGATGTGGGCCGAGCTGAAGGAGAAGAACGACCTGCAGTCCAGGATGAGGACTTTGTGTGGCCTGTCTGCCAGCAGTGCTTTCATGGTGCTGCAATCCATGCCACTAATCTCCATATTGACCATAGCTAGGCGGCACACTCTGCTTGGAAGGGTAGACAAGGAATCCGTGCTGCTTCGGGGTAACACTGCTCGGCTTGTAACAAAGGACTCAATGGCTTCCTCTCCTTGCTGCTGCACTTGCCCGTTCCAGGCTACTTTGTCTAAATGAAAGGAACGTAAGAGGAAAATGATGGAGTCCTCAAGCACTAGCCAGCCGTGTTGTCTTTCTGCTGTTACTTGTTCCCTGGAGCTGGCTGGCTGGCTCTAGCTCGTGCTGCCCCGGACCTCGCACACTCCCTATTTATACAGAGCGGGAGGAGGTGGCTTTTTTGTGAATGGCTTGTACCACGTGGCTTTACGGTGACATCATTCCAGCTGTAGCCGCGCCCCCTTGTGTCCAGCCAAGAGAGATGACGTCGGCTAAGCTGCAAAGTCAAACAGTGCTGTATACACAGAGCGGCCTGGCCCAGGCAGGAAATAAACTGCTGTAACCCTGAGCCAGCCGCAGCTCCGCTGAGGGGAGAGCCGACACACGAGGCACGCAATGTTCTCCTCAGAGCACACATACACAAATGATTACATGGACGGCCTTTTTGGAGGCTTTTCAGAACATTTTCGTTCATAAAGCTGGAATGTGAATGGGAGCAGCGTGAGCTCATGTGTCAGCCCCCCCCAGCCTGGAATCCGGGGCAGCCCGCCGAAAACCTTCACAGCACACTGAGCTCTTGTCAGGAGGGAGAGAGAGAGAGAGGACTCGCATTTAGTTGTCACGAACTCTTCCTTCATAGGCTGGAATTTCTAACATGGTTCATACACAAATTCCAAAATCTATTCACACGGGCTGTGCAGGGAAACCAGTCTTCACAAGACGGCAATAGATAGCTTACTTCTATGTATTCCACCATAACAAACACCACACAAGTCTAATATATATAATATAAATGATAATATCACATACATATACTTCTATTTATTCCACCATAATAAATAAAATCACATAGATATATAACAGATATCTTACTTCTATGTATTCTACCATAACACAACACCACACAAGTCTAATATATACATAATATATAAATGACTTCTATGTATTCCACCATAATACAGTTGCAAGAAAAAGTATGTGAACCCCTTGGGATTACGTGGAGTTTTGCATGAATTGGGCATAAAATGTCCTCTGAATGTCATCTAAGTCACAACAATAGAAGAACACAGTCTGCTGAACATAATACTACACAAACATTAGATGTTGCCATGGTTTAATTGCACATAACATGTAAACATTCACAGTGCAGGGAGGAAAAAGTATATGAACCTTTGGACTTAATAACTGGTTGACCCTCCTTTGGCAGCAATAAACTCAACCAAATGTTTCCTGTAGTTGCAGATTAGACCTGCACAACGATCTGGAGTCATTTTGGACCACTCCTCTTCACAAAACTGTTTCAGTGTAGCAATATTCTTGGGATGTCTGGTGCGAATCGCTCTCTTAAGGTCATGCCACAGCATTTCAATCGGGTTGAGGTCAGGACTCTGACTGGGCCACTCCAGAAGGCGTATTCTGTGCTGTTGCAGCCATTGTTTTGTTGAATTACTTGTATGCTTTGGGTCATTGTCCCGTTGCATCACCCATCCTCTGCGGAGCTTCAGTTGGCGGACAGATGGTCGTACGTTTTCCTGCAAAATGTCTTGATAAACTCTGGAATTCATTTTCCCATCAATGACAACAATCCGTCCAGGCCCTGAGGCAGCAAAGCAGCCCCAAACCATGATGCTCCCTCCGCCATGTTTTACAGTGGAGATGAGGTTTTGATGTTGGTGTGCTGTGCCTTTTTTTCTCCACACATAGTGTTGTGTGTTCTTCCCAAACAACTCAATCTTGGTTTCATCTGTCCACAGTATATTTTGCCAGTAGTGCTGTGGAACATCCAGGTGCTCTTTTTCAAACTTCAAACGTGTTGCAATATTCTTTTTGGACAGCAATGGCTTCCTCCATGATGTCCTCCCATGTACTCCATTCTTGTTTAATGTTTTCCTTATTGTAAATGTGTCAACAAAAATGTTAGCATGTGCCAGAGATTTCTGTAGGTCTTTAGCTGACACTCTGGGAGTCTTCTTTACCTCATGCAGCATTCTGCGCTGTGCTCTTGCAGTCATTTTTACAGGACGACCACGCCTAGGGAGAGTAGCAACAGTGCTAAACTTTCTCCATTTGTAGACAGTCTGTCTTACCATCAACACATGAACATCAAGGCTTTTGGAGATACTTTTGTAACCCTTTTCAGCTTCATGCAAGTCAACAATTCTTGATCGTAGGTCTTCTGAGAGCTCTTTTCTGTGAGGCATGGTTCACATCAGACAGTGCTTCTTGAAACCAGTAAACCCAAAACAGGTGTGTGTTTTTTAAGGGCAGGACAGCTGTCAGCAACACATCCAATATCATCACACTGATTGGAGTCAAGGTTGGCTCACTCCTGGCTCCAATTAGCTCTGGGAGAAGTCATTAAGCTAGGGCCTCACATACTTTTTCCTCCCTGCACTGTGAATGTTTACATGTTATGTGCAATTACACCATGGCAACATCTAATGTTTGTGTAGTATTATGTTCAGCAGACTGTGTTCTTCTATTGTTGTGACTTAGATGACGTTCAGAGCACATTTTATGCCCAATTCATGCAAAACTCCACGTAATCGCAAGGGGTTCACATACTTTTTCTTGCAACTGTAAATAAAACCACATAAATATATAATAGATATCTTACTTCTATGTATTCCACGATAACAAAACACCACACAAGTCTAAATATATACATAATATATAAATGACTTCTATGTATTCCACCGTAATAAATAAATCCACATAAATATATAATAGATATCTTACTTCTATGTATTCCACCATAGCAACACACCACACAAGTCGAATATACATAATATGTAAATGACTTCTATGTATTCCAACATAATAAATAAAACACCCCTTAAATATATGATAGATATATTACTTCTATGTATTCCACCAAACACCACACAAGTCTAATATATACATAATATATAAATGACTTCTATTTATGCCACATAATAATAAATAAAACACCACATAAATATATAATAGATATCTTACTTCTATGTATCCCACCATAGCAAAGCACCATACAAATCTAATATATACATAATATATAAATGACTTCTATGTATTCCACCATAATAAATAAAACCACATAAATATATAATAGATATCTTACTTCTATGTATTCCATCCTAACAAAACACCACACAAGTCTAATGTATACATAATATATAAATGACTTCTATTTATTCCACCATAATAAATAAAACACAACATAATGTATACCATATAACTTACTTCTATGTATTCCACCATTATAATAAAACACCACATAAGTCAATATTATACATAATATAAACATTACTTCTGTTTATTTCACCATAATAAATAAAACACCACATAAGTCTATTAAATACATATATATATAAATTACTTCTATTTATTCCACCATAATAAAAATAAATAAACACCACATAAAGTCAAGTGTATATAATATATATGTTACATCTATGTATTTCCACCATAATAAATAAAACACCACACAAGTGTAAAATAATATATATCTTTACATCTATGTATTCCACCATAATAAATAAAAAACACAGCACAAGTGTATAATATATATGTTACATCTATGTATTCCACCATAATAAATAAAACACCGCACAAGTGTATAATATATATCTTACATCTATGTATTCCACAATAATAAATAAAACACCACACAAGTGTATACAATATATAATATATAAATGACTTCTATTTATTCCACCATCATAAATAAAACACCACACAAGCCTTCTATATTTATAATATATAAATTACTTCTATGTATTCCACCATAATAAATAAATAAAACACCACACAAGTGTATAATATATATCTTAATTCTATGTATTCCACTATAATAAATAAAACACCACACAATTGTATATTATACATTATATATATATTACTTCTATTTATTCCACCATATTACTAAAAAAAAAACATGTGTATAATGTACATAACCTACAGTGCCTTGAAAAAGTATTCATACCCTTTGAAATGTAAACGTAAATGTATGTTATTGGGATTTTATGTGATAGACCAGCACAAAGTGGCACATAATTGTGAAGTGGAAGGAAAATGATAAATTATTTTTAAAATTTGGAATTTTTCATGGTAACTCTGGAGGAGCTGCACAGATCTGTTCACAGGACAACTATTAGTCCTGCACTCCACAAATCTTGCCTTTATGGGAGAGTGGCAAGAAGAAAGCCATTGTTGAAAGAAAGGCATAAGAAGTCCCGTTTCCAGTTTGCGGAAGCCATGTGGGGGACACAGCAAACGTGGAAGAAGGTACTCTGGTTAGATGAGACCAAATTAAACTTTTTTCCCTAAAAGCAAAACGCTATGTGTGGTGGAAAAAAACTAACACTGCACATCACCCTGAACACGCCATCCCCCACCGTGAAACATGATGGTGGCAGCATCATGTTGTGGGGATGCTTTTCTTCAGCAGGGACAGGGAAGCTGGTCAGAGTTGATGGGAAGATGGAAGGAGCCAAATACAGGGCAATCTTAGATGAAAACCTGTTAGAGCCTGCCTGCAAAGAAGACTTGAGACTGCGGTGGAGGTTCACCTTCCAGAACGACAACAACCCTAAACATACAGCCAGAGCTACAATGGCATTGTTTGGATCAGGGATCTCCAAACTTTATATAAAAAAGGACCAGTTTACTGTCCTTCAGACTTTAGGGGGGCCAGACAATGCCCCATTTTTGGTACTAATGAGAGAAACTGTGCCCCATAGTTGTGCCACTGAGACTCTGATGTAAGGGGGAATGCTGGGAACTCTGATGTAAGGGGGGCTCTGGTGACCAGAGAACCTCTTACATCAGAGCTCCCCTTAACACGGCAATTGTTGGTGTCATTGGGCAGAACTGTACCCCATCGTTGGTGTCATTGGGAGGCATTGTGCCCCATCATTGGCGTCATTGAGTGGAATTGCACCCCTTCACTGATGTAATTGGGAAGAATTGCGCCCCT